AAAACAATTTCCGAGGCCAACTCTTCAGACAGGGATTGGACTGGACTGTGGGACATAAAGTGATACTCGTGAAGAGTGTGCCTCTTAGTCAAGTAGATACAAGAGACCAAAGGGGCAGCTCCTGTCCAGAGGTGAGATGGGAAGGCAGAGAGAGTTAGGAGCCGGTTGAATGGTCACGGGGAATCAGGGGCAGAAAGGAGGAGTGTGGTGTCGAAGAATGTGGTGAGCAATTAGGGTCTCATAACAGTGTATGTAAAAAAAAATTTGTATGGAGACTAACTTGAAATGTAAACTTCATTTAATTACAACAATAACAAAAAAATAAAACAAAAATCCTCCCAACTAGGAAAAAAAAAAAAAAGGGCAAAAGAAATGAACAGACACTTCACCAAAGAAGACATTCAAGCAGCCAACACACACATGAGGAAATGCTTGCGATCACTAGCCATTAGAGAAACGCAAATTAAAATCACAATGAGATACCATCTCACCCCAGCATTACTGGCATGAATCAAAAACACTGGAAATAACAAATGCTGGAGAGGCTGCAGGGAGATCGGAACTCTTATGCACTGCTGGTGGGAATGCATAATGATGCAATCATTTTGGAAAACGATATGGCGCTTCCTTAAAAAGCTAGAAATAGAAATACCATACGATCCAGCAATCCCACTCCTAGGAATATATCCTAGAGAAATAAGAGCTGTCACACGAATAGACATATGCACACCCATGTTCATTGTAGCATTGTTCACAATAGCAAAAAGATGGGAACAACCTAGATGCCTGTCAATAGATGAATGGAGAAATAAACTATGGTACATACACACAGTGGAGTATTACGCAACAATAAAGAACAATGATGAATCTGTGAAGCATCTCATAACATGGATGAAACTGGAGAACATTATGCTGAGTGAAATAAGTCAATCACAAAAGAACAAATATTGTATGAGACCTCTACTGTAAAAACTCATGTGAAAGTTTACACACAAAAAGAAACAATCTTTGTTGGTTACAAGGGATGGGAGGGGTGGGGGGAATATTAAATAGACAATAGACAAGTGGTAACTTTGGTGAAGGGTAAGACAGTACACAATACTGGGGAAGCCAGTACAACTTGTACAAGGAAAGGTCATGGAAGCTCCATAGACACATCCAAGCTCCATGAGGGACTGAATTGCTGGGCAGAGGGCTGTGGGGACCATGCTTTCAGAGAACAGCTAGCTCAACTGGCATAACACAGTTTATAAAGACAAGGTTCTGCATTCTACCTTGGTGAGTAGCGTCTGGGGTCTTAAAAGCCTGTGAGCAGCCATCTAAGATACTCCACTGGTCTCACCCCTTCGGGAGCGAGGGAGAATGAAGAGAACAGGATACAAGGAAAAGATTAGTCCAAAGGACTAATGGACCACAGCTACCACGGCCTCCACCAGACTGAGTCCAGTACAGCTAGATTGTGCCTGGCTACCACCACTGACTGCTCTGATTGGGATCACAACAGAGGGTTCTGGACAGAGCTGGAGAAGGATGTAGAACAAAAATCTAACACACAAAAAAAGATCAGATTTACTGGCCTGACACAGACTGGAGAAATCCCGAGAGTATGACCCCCGGACACCCTTTTAGCCCAGTGGTGAAGTCACTCCCAAGGTTCACCATTCAGCCGGAGATTGGACAGCCCTATAAAACAAAATGGAACTAATGAGACACAGAAGTCCAGGGACAAGGACTAGAAGGCAGGACGGGACAGGAAAGCTGGTGATAAGGAACCCAAGGTTGAGAAGGGACAGTGGTGACATGTTGTGGGGTTAACCATTGTCATAGGGCAATATGTGTACTAACTGTTTAATGAGAAACTATTCTGTTCTATAAACCTTCATCTAAAATCCAAAAAGAAAAGAATTATCTGTGTGAGATCAAATTGTCAACAGCAACTCAAAAGGTTTGATGGGAAGCCTAGGGGGCAGTGAGTTGAAGATAATGATGATGGAGTAATTTGGAAAAGGATAGTGAGAATAGCAGCACAACTGGAAGAATGTAATTGATGTCACTGAATTGTACATGTAGAAATTTTTGAAATGGTGTTTCTTTGGCTATGTATATTTTCACCAAAAAAAAAGGTCTTCCAAGGTCAAGGAGAGAGAGTGTTGACCAATGTCATAAAACAATACATGTACTGACTGTATAATGAGAAACTATTTGTTCTATAAATCTTCACCTAAAGTACAATAAAAACATTTTTTAAAAACTGTCCTCAATTACTATTATTATACTTTGAATTTTCTCAGTAAAAAATTGTGGAAATTGGTTTTCTCTCTACATAATACCCTCGATTTTGCCTCTCTGCCTTCCAAGCCTAAATATCTCTTCTTTACCCTGTTCTTCCACTCCTCACTCTGCCCTGGGATCAGCAAATTCAGTCCATGAGATCTCAGGGCTTAGAACTCCTCCTCCCTTCTCCCCTCACCCCTCTGCATGGCCGCAGGACAGCCTGGCCTGCAGGGCTGCAGACTCCCAGCCCAGTTACTCGCCCCCACGCTCACAGCCCTCCTCCCAACCCCACACCCGGCCTTGCCTTGGGACACAGCGGTCGTCCCAGGGGACGTGTGCCATAGTGGCCTGGCCACTGGCTCTCAGTCCCACCTCCCCTGAACCCCACTCTTCTCTCCAACTCCCTGCAGGAGGCAAGGCCAACGTGGGTGGCTGGAATCTCCCCGGTAACAGGGTTGGCCCCCTCTCCCTCCTCCTCCTGCCTCCTCCCCTAATCTGCTGTTCCTCCTCCCTCACCCCTCACCCGGCACCTGCTCTCTGGCCCTCGGCCCCTCCTTCCTGCCTCCCACACCCCACTCCTGCTCCCTCCTTCGCTAGCGCTCCATGTCACCATCTGTGGCACAATCTTTCTCTGTCACTCTTCCTGCCACCCCCTCGTTCTCCTTCCTCCTGTTCTATCCCTGCCTCTCTCTGCCTCTCCCTCTCTCCTTCTCTAGCTCTCCTCTTTCCTCCTGCTTTTCTTCTCCCTGTCACGCATCCATCATCACTCCCCCTCATTCTGGCTTTCCGCCCACTCACTGTCTTCTCTCTCTCTCCACCTCCGACCGACCCCCCTTTTCCTATATTTCTATTGGCTTCCTACAGTTCCCGGTTCCCCTTTTCTCTCCTTCACCTTGGGAAGCTTCTCCCTCCAGCCAGCCCCTGCCTGCAGACCCCACCTGTACCCCTGCCCACCTCAGGATGTGTCCTGGAGATGGGGGGTGATGCACTAGGTGCTGGTGGGAAGTCAGGGCCGGAGACCAGATGGGAGAGGCTCTGTGGGCAGACGTGGCCGCTGCGGGCCTAGGAGGGGGTGCAAGCAGTCTATAAGTGCTCGTCACGTGGGGACCCCGGCCAAGGGGTGCTGTGGGGGCACCCGGGGCCTGGGCAGGGAGAGGGGGCTGCTGGATGATCACCAGCCTGGCGGCAAGGAGGGGAGCCCTCACCCTGTAGGCAGGTAAGGAGGCTGGGGCCTGGGTGGGGTCCTGGAGAGTGGGAGGCTGGAGCCTGGCCTCTGCCCAGGATGAACTTGAGAGGCTGTGGCTGGGGGCTGGGAGAGGGTAGGGAGGCCCTTGGAGGAAGGAGAGAGGCCTCCCCATGACCTCTCAGTGGGCTGCAGAGGTGGGAACATTAATCTCAGAATCTTGCGCCACGATTCTAGAATCTTGGAATCACAGAACAGTAGAGTGTCCAAGTTGGAGGAAACCAGAAACATCATGCTGTTGCACCTCCCTGGCTCACGTGCCAGCTCTCCTGAGCTCCCCCTCCATGCTGGGCACTGCTCAGCACACTCCATTTAATCCTACAGCGACCCGGGAGGTGGGTACGGCATGTCTTCATTTTCATATGAGGAAACTGAGGTTCAGAGAGGGGAAGCGACTTGCCCAAAATCACACAGCAATTTGGCAGTCACTCAGTGGTGGAGCCCAAGCCTCCAACTCAGGGCTTGTGGGCTGTGTTCTGGGGTGAGATTGAGCCAATTTGCATCGGCCAGCACAATCCGGGCCTCTGGGGAAGCCCAGGGTTGGAGGGCTAGCAGAATGCAGGACCGCCAAGGCCATCAGCCCTGCAAGGTCCAAGGCTATCCAACCGTTGATTCCTCCCAGCCTGAGGCCATTAGAGATACCAGCATGGGGAGGATGTACCGAAGGTTTAGGAACAGACAGACTTGGGTTCGAATGCTGGCTTCCCACTCACTAGCTGGGTGAATTTGCACGAGTGACTTAACCTTTCTGAGCCTCAAATTCCTCTTCTCTAAAAATCCATCCTCATCCCCCACCCTGGCTTGGTGAGGATTTCAGGGTTAGTTTCCAGCCTCTGCCCACCTCAGAACTCCCCTTGCTGAACCTTTGGGTTGTTTCATTTGCAATGTTCTGGGTGCCATGCTAGGTACTGGGGGTTAATAAAGAAATCATCCAGGGTCCCTGTACAGAAAATTCTGCACTCTATGGGGAGAAGGGGATGGATTGGGGGAGTCCAGCATTCCCGAGGGGTCGTCCTGATTGCTGTGGGACTCAGGGCCACTGCTCAACCTCTCTGGGCCTGTCTCCTCCTGAGCTGTCCCTGGGGGAGTCCATCCCCAGCGTTCAGGCAAGCTTATGCCAAAGATAAACCAGACGGGGAGGAAAAGTCCCTCCTCCCCGAGGATGAACTAGATCATGCACAGGATTCCAGCTCCTTAAAGAAAAGGCAGCACCAAAATTACAGGTCTGGCTTACGTGAGGGGAAAGCTATAATTTCTCTTCCTCTGGCACCCAGCCTGCTAAATTTTGACAGGGAAGATGGGTCCAGATGAGGGTGGAGGCAGGGAGCCTCGAGAGGGACCAGGGGCTGTGGGAGAGGCTATTTCCTGTCCTAATACAAAGGGAGGGTCTGGCTGGGTGCACTGTGTTCCTGCTGGACCGTGTGCTTGTGTGTGCGGGCGCACATACGTGTCCCAGGGGGGAGGGAGTGGGACTGTCCTTGGAGCTCACCCCCAGGCATCCCCCAGGCCATCTGTCCCTGAAGCCAGGAAATTAGGTTTGTCTGGCTCACTGCTCCTCTCTTGGGAGCCTGCACGCCCCTCCCTTCTCCAGCCTTGGGTTGCGATTGGCTGACCATTGGAGATGCTATAAAAAGGACCGGTGTACAGGGTGGTGAGGTGGATGGGTGACGTAGGGCCCTCCTGGCCAAGGCAATCAGGACACTAAGGGTCCCAGATTCCACAGTTCTGGGTCTAAGAAGGTCTAATTCTGGTATTCTGGAATTCTAATACTCGCTGTTTCACCGTTCTAAGAATCTAAAATTCTATTCTAGGCCTCTAGGAGTTTACAGGAGACCCTGGGTAGTGCAATGGTTAAGCGCTGCTAACCAAAAGTTTGGTGGTTCAAGTCCATCCAGAGGTGTCTAGGAAGAAATATCTGATGATCTACTTCCGGAAAACCAGCCATCGAAAACCCTATGGAGCACAGTTCTACTCTGACTCATATGGGGTCACTGTGAGTTGGAGCCAACTCGATGGCAACTGGTTTAGAAGTCTAGGAGTTTGAATCCATGATTCTAATAGTCTAGTTAGAAGAGCCCCTGAGAGCTGCCCTGACCAACTGTGAAATTTATGCCAGTGCCTTCCCTGGCCCAGCCTCAGTCTGCTACATATGAAAGCCCGACCCAGAAGCAGGTCGTCTAGGAATGGTTTAGCACCCCTTGTGTCGAGGGCTGACTTTCAATAGATCGCAGCGAGGGAGCTGCTCTGCTGTTGCAGGTTCTCTGCTGCTGCTGGTCCTTTGCTGCTACTGCTCCTCTATCCATTCACAGTTTCAAAGCCGCTTCCATATTTTGGGTATCTGTTAGAGCAGCACCCCACTCCTGGTACCAAATTCTGTCTTAGTCATCTAGTGTTGCTATAACAGAAATACCATAAGTGGATGGCTTTAACGAAGAGAAATTTATTTCTTCACAGTGAAGTAGGCTAAAAGTCCAAATACAGGGCATCAGCTCCAGGGGTGGTGTGTGTGTGGAAGGGAGTCATGGAATAGTCACAAGGGTCCTCTCAGCTCTGCCCCTTCCTAGCTGCCTGAGCAGACCACATCGCCTCACATGCATCTCCCATCTGTACACTGGGGATGACAATAGTGCCTCCCTCATAGGACACATCATTGGCCTAGCTTTGTGCCTGGCACAATTGGGGCATGGTGAATCTGAGCTGGCACACTATTAGGATCCTATGAGTCCTCTGCCCAGATCAAAAAAAAAAAAAAAACTTTTGGCGAGTTGACTCTGACTTATGGTGATGCCATGTGCTTCAGACTAGAACTGTGCTCCGTAGGGTTTTTAATGTCTGATTTTCCAGAAGTAGATCTCCAGGCCTTTCTTCCAAAGTGCCTCTAGGTGGATTTGGACCACCAATCTTTCAGTTAGCAGCAGAGTGTATTAACCATTTGTACCACCCAGGGATATCCCCTCCCTTATTGCCACTGCCCTAAGCTCAGGAGAGCTGATGAGGCATTGGGGTGAGGGATGGGTTAAAGGCCCCCTCCAGTCTCACAGCACTGTCTTCTCTCCCAGCCCAGGGCAGAGAGGGGTTGCTCTGAGTCCAGCCAGCCAGGAGGAATCATCAGGAGGAGCCATAAGCCAAGGGAACTCTTTGCCATCCTCAGCCTCACCAGGCCAGCCACGCTGAGCCCTGGGCAGCCCTGGGTCCTCAGGGCACAGCAGCCTGGCAAGCTCACCCACCTCAGATGCTTGCTTGGAGTTGGGGTGTCTCCCCTTCCCAGGAGCTCTGCATCTTAAAAGTGGCATCCTGAGAGGGCACCAAGGACCACCCATTCCTACTAGTGGACTTTCAGGCTCAGGGTGGGGTCAGTGGGAGATATTGGAGGGAAGACTTCCCCTCCGAGAGTTTCTTGCTTAGGGTTTTCTGATCAATAGGGTGACCAGGTGCTGGGGGACTGGGGAATGGGGTTGATGGGAAGAAGGGATGGGAGAGAAGGTCAAGGCCCCAGAGGAGGCTCCAGCTTTCAGCCTTGACCTCTGATTGGACCTCCAGAATCAGGAAGTCCTGTTGAGGAGGGGCGGAAAATCCTCATGGCCTTTCTCAGTGGGGCCCGGAATTCCACTATTAGCAATTCATTCCTTTAGGTTAGTCCACTCCAGGTTCCCTTTTGATCCATTTGAAGCCACAAACATTTATGCAGAGCTTGTGCTGTGTGAGAAAGTGACAGGTGGGTGAGAGTGGGGTCGGGGGAACAGGTTCAAAGCTGATTAAGAGAGTCTCCACACTGAAGGAGCTTAAAGTTTAGTGGGGGAGCCAGGAAGGGTCCCAGCTACTTACAATACATGGGGGATGTGATAAGAAAGGTGCTCAGAAAGGAAAGGAAGTAAACAGGGACGTTGGGTCCCACTATGTCCCTAGGGTAAGCTCCTATGCATGCATGCTTCAAAACCTATCTGAAACGTCCTCTTCCCTGAGAAACCCTCCCCTCCAGCCCGGGTGGAGGTTGCTATTCTTGTGCATGCCCCCACAGCAGCACCTGTCAAGTGTATTGTTAACCCGCCATCACAAGTCAGCCTCTGGGGAAAAGGGGCCTCAGCTGCCCACCCCCCAGGTTCCCAGGCAACAGTCCCTGGGCAGAGCCTTTGTGTCCCATGGAATGGGGGACAGTGGCATGTGCTGGGGCAAGGGGATTCCCAAGGACTCTGACTCCCAGGGGAGGGGACATCCCTGAGCCTGTGGCTCTTAATTCAGAATCTGAGGAATCTGATGAAAGCTCTGAACTGTGCCCAGAAAAGACACGGACACATTAACTTTCACCTACAATGTAGGGGGTTCATGGAACCTCTGAAGTTCACTAGATACCCCAGTTCATGGTTAAGGATGTGTGATACGAAGCAGTGGTTTTCAAACTGCACGGTGAGACCCATTGGTGGGCAATGCAGTCCATTTAATGGCTCTCTGCTGGCTGCGGCATCGTATGTAGAAAGGCTGAGTACTGTTTTATGAAACAATATGACTTCATTGGATCGCAATGTAAAATGCCCTTCTTACCGTGCACTGGGGTCAAAAGGTTTGAAAACCACTGGTATAAAGGATTTACCCATTCCTTTATTTATTGTGTATGGAGCACTTACCATGTGCACAGACAAAGGGACACCATAGGGGACAGGCCAGCACTGTCCCCTGCCCTTTGGAGCCAGACAAGCATATCTTCCACTCCACAGTCTGCCTGTGTGATAGAAGGTGGGTCACTTCACCTCTCTGAGACTTAGTTTCCTCATCTGAGAAATGGGAGTAGCACCACCTGCCTTGCTGGGCTGGGCAGAGTGGGTAAGATGGTGCATGTCAAGCTGTGACTTGGCTCACAGTAGACCTCCAAGTTCAGTGTCATGGGGAAGGGGGCAGCAGAGAGAACCTATCCTCTGCCATGACTGGCTGTGTCCTCCCTCTTCCAGGCCAGTAGCTGACTGCTGACCGCCCTTCCTTTGGCCATGGACAACCCTGGCTACCCTCCACTAGTGCCCACGACCTTGGAACCTGGGAATACCTCCTCGGCCTGGCCCCTGGACGCTGCACTGGGAAACAAGTCGGGAGGCCCAAGCCCGGCAGGGCTGGCTATCAGTGGCATTCTGATCCCCCTGGTGTACCTGGTAGTGTGCGTGGTGGGCCTGCTAGGCAATTCACTGGTCATCTACGTGGTCCTTCGGCACACGGCCAGCCCGTCAGTCACCAATGTCTACATCCTCAATCTGGCGCTGGCTGACGAGCTCTTCATGCTGGGGCTGCCCTTCCTGGCTGTTCAGAATGCCCTGTCCTACTGGCCCTTTGGCTCCTTCATGTGCCGCCTGGTCATGGCCGTGGATGGCATCAACCAGTTCACCAGCATCTTCTGCCTCACTGTTATGAGTGTGGACCGATACCTGGCGGTGGTGCACCCGACCCGCTCGGCCCGCTGGCGAACGGCGCCCGTGGCTCGCACTGTCAGCGCGGCAGTCTGGGTGGCCTCAGCCGTGGTGGTGCTGCCTGTGGTGGTCTTCTCGGGTGTGCCCCGTGGCATGAGCACCTGCCACATGCAGTGGCCTGAGCCGGCGGCAGCCTGGCGGACCGGCTTCATCATCTACACGGCCGCCCTGGGCTTCTTCGGGCCACTGCTGGTCATCTGCCTCTGCTACCTGCTCATCGTGGTGAAGGTGCGCTCCGCAGGGCGGCGGGTATGGGTGCCCTCGTGCCAGCGGCATCGGCGCTCCGAGCGCAGGGTCACACGCATGGTGGTGGCTGTGGTGGCACTCTTCGTCCTTTGCTGGATGCCCTTCTATGTGCTCAACATCGTCAACGTGGTGTGCCCACTGCCTGAGGAGCCTGCCTTCTTTGGCCTCTACTTCCTGGTGGTGGCGCTGCCCTATGCCAACAGCTGTGCCAACCCCATACTGTATGGCTTCCTCTCTTATCGCTTCAAGCAGGGCTTCCGCAGGGTCCTGCTACGGCCTTCCCGCCGAGTGCACAGCCAGGAGCCCAAGGCAGGGCCTCCAGAGAAGACCGAGGAGGAGGATGAGGAGGAGGATGGAGAGGAGGGCGAGGCGGAGGGCAGGGGAGAGGGAGCACAGAAGCAGGAAGAGGGGAAGGAGATGAAAGGCCGGGTCAGCCAGATCACCCAGCCTGGCACAAGTGGGCAGGAGCAGCCACCCAGCAGCTCAATGGGCAAAGAGCAGCAGTCCCTGCCTCGAGAGCCCTCTGCTGGGGAGAAGTCCAGTGCGCTGCACATCAGCTATCTGTAGTGGCCTGGGGAGGGCCAGGGAAGCCTAAGGAAGAGGCAGAGCCTGTGGGTATGCCCTGGCATGCTGCCCGGGGTGCCAGAGACTCACAATGGGACTTGCTATGTGACCACAGGTAGGTCATACCCCTTCTCTGGGCCTGGCTTGCTCCTCTCTGACTCAGGGATGGGGTAATCAGCCCCAGTGAGATCTGACAGGCAAGAGGTCTGGAAGGGCCTCACCGCTGGTCTGACCTTTCTGAGCTGGGTCCAGGTCACAGGGTCCTGACCTTCCCCAACTCTAGGGGACTTGGAGCATCTCGGGGCATCAGCCCTCAGAGGGATAGAGCAAGTCCTGGATTTCCTGGGCTTGAAGTCAGAGATATGGGAGATGCTGGGGCTGGACTGGATCCCCAGGTAGAAGGAAGTCTTACCTGGTGGGGAGGAGGTGGAGCAGCTCAGGCCCACCCAGATTGGCTCTGCCCCACGGGCAGTGTGGCCTTGTGTCAGCTCGTGCCTCCTGGACCTCGGGACCTCACCCGATAGACAACCCGATAACCTCGGCCCTTTTGACCCAGATAGTTTTTGTGGGGACTCCTGCGCTCCTGGACATGGTAATCAGAGGGGGTTTTTCCAGGAAGCTAACTGAGCCGAGCTTCAGTGCCCCTTATTGTGTGGACCCTTGCAAGGCCCTGCACTTAATTTCGCACTTGTAATTTTGTATTCCTTTTCTTAAAAGAGGGTCCCAAATTATATAAACTTGAACCCATTGATTTACCCATTGCCGTGGAGTCGATTCTGACTCATAGTGACCCTACAGGACAGAGTAGAATTGCCGCATAGAGTTTCCAAGGAGTGGTTGGTGGATTCGAACTGCCGACCTTTTGGTTAGCAGCCAATCTCTTTAACCACTGAACCACCAGGGCTTAGGCCGCACGAAGCCTAGCTCAGCTCCTGGTGGGGAAGCTGCCCAACCCCCAGAGTAGCTCACTTTGAGTTCTGAACCTGGGGCTGGGGTGGCCCCAGGTCTTTGAGGGCTCCAGGAGCTTCCTCTTAGGAGGGGTCAGCCCTGTTTCCCCCACTGTGATCTGTTGCCCCTCCTCCCAGAAACCAAGGCAGGAACCGAACCCACACAAGCTCCTGGCTGGTATACTTGGAGAGGCAGAAGTATCTACACAGCACTGTGCAGAGGAGGGAGAGGAGAAGGGAGGAAGACGAGGAGGAAGCAGAAGAGAAGAAGGGAGGATGAGGAGGGAGAGGAGAAGGAAGGAGGAAGAGAGATCTGCTCTGTGACCCTGGACCTGACCTTGGCCCCCTGGGCTGAGCTCAGTTGCAGTATCTGTGGAAGTGGGACGCCAACGCCTGGCCCGACCAGTCCCAAGGAAAGGATGCCATCCAGAGTGGAAAAGCAGCTGCTCTGAAACGTACAGGGTCGGCCCCGTGAGTGGTCGTCGGCGTGGTAAGAAGGGCCTGGGAGGAGTGGTGAGCTTCCTGTGGATGGGGGAATGGGTCTTCCATCCTCTAAGTTCCTGGGGGCTACAGGTCCAGGAGGCCAGGGAATTCAGGGGAAAGGCCGCTGTTCAAGGCTGGGTAGGCCTGGACCAGCCTGACTACCTCCCCAGAGATGACCTCTTAGAGCCACTGGGAGCCTGGCCCTGGGGAGGGTGGCGCCTCTGGCTAAACTGTCTCTCCTGCCCCCACAGAGGGAAGGGGGTCCTCAGGGAAAGCATGTGAACCAGAAAGCCGGGACACCTGGATCTTCACCCCACCTCATGATCCTCGGCCAGCCTTTACCTCTCTGTGCCTCAGTTTCCCCAACATAAAATGGAGGTAGTTGTTCCCAGCTTGCCTGCCTGTTGAGATTTGGGGAGGAAAATGGATCGAGTCATGTTGGGTACACTGCCAAGCTCACTGCAATGGGGCGGGGATGGGGCCGACTTGATTATAAAGTGGAGGTGTACCCCCAGGCTTGGCCTACACCCCCCTCTCCTTCATCAGGCAGGCCTCTCTGCCTCTGGCCCCTGGGCTGAGGATGCTGCAGGCCATGAGCAACGGGGAGTTGGAGGCAGAGGCCGAGGAACAGGGAGGCAGGGTTGCAGGGAGAGTCCAGCCCCTCAGGGGGAAAAGAAGTTCCAGAAACCAGAACTTGCATGGAAGGTGGAGGCTGGAGGCCCAGCCCTGGGGCTTGGTCTGGGGCTCCCTTGAGGAGGAGCTGAGGGGCTGAGGGAGAAAACACCCAGCATTCTGGCATTCCCTGGCTGGCCCTTACCCCTCCCCTCCCTTCCCCACATCTGGGGCAGATGGGCACTGTTCTGCAAGGGCGGCTGGGGAAGGTGGTTGAGGAAATCCTTTGCTGCTTCTGCCCCTAGCTAGCTCTTGTCAATAAAGATGGCTGTACACGACAATGCTGTGTGGCCGGGCCCTTTGTCTGCAGGAGGCTGTGTGTTTGGCTGGGTGTGGACACGCAGGGGTGCGTGGCAGGCGTGTGTATGTGGCACCTACCTCTATCAGGATGCTCCCTCCTATCCATCTCTCAGCTCTGGGCACACTGGCCGTTTGTGTGTGGCTTCCCAGAGTCCAGGTCCTCCAGGGCACATGGAAGGACCCCTGGCGGCACTCAGCCCACACCCTTACGGATCTTGATCCAAAAGCAGTAGAACTCTCTTCCTGTGTCCAAATATCAAAATCTCATGGAAGGAAGTTGACTGGCCCTGACTGGGTCATGTGATTGCCTCTTGGGCCAACCACCAAAGGGATAGAGTGCTGTGATTGGCCGTGTATGGCCTATCCTTCCAGTCAGGGGGAAGATGGACACTGTGATGGACAGTCTGGCCCAACCAATCGGGTACAGGGCAGGTCAGGGGCAGACTACCAATGGCAAGGGGAGGTGGGCCAGGCAGTGGGTCACAGTGGTCTGGTTGTGTGCTCGGTTCACTGTTTGTGGCTGCTTTTGCTGCGTGTGATTGCGTGTGTTTGAAGGTTTGTGTGAACATGGTGCAGGGCGTTTAGTAGGCACTCAGGACATCTCAGCAGGGGCCATAAGTGAATGTGTACTGGGGATGTTAATGCAGAGGGGCCTGCTGTGCGGGTGGCAGGGGTGCATGGGGTGCAAACAGAGGGTTGCTGGGGGCCTGGCGTTGTATAGGAGTGGCAGCCAGGCCTCCTCCTCCAGCCCCCGCAGCCTCCAGGCTTCCCCACCACACTGGTGTCACTGCCTATGCGTGCTCTCATGTGTGTGGGTGGGTGTCCCACTAGCCTTCTCCCTCCAAGGGCAGGGACGAAGCCTGACCCATCTGCGTTCCAGAGGCTGCCAGCGCCCTGGGCCCTTCATTTGAGCATTTTGAATAAATGAATGAAGGGAGGAGCCATTGGATTTCACAACTCCCAGGGCACCATCCATACAGTGACTCCAGCCCTCTTTGTTTATGCCAGGCGTTAGATGGACTAGCTTATTTAATTAGTATAATTATTTTCATTTTACAGACACGAAACTGAGGCACAGAGAGGTTGACTAACTTGCTCGGGGTTGCACATAAGTGGCAGAGTCAGGAAATGAACACAGTCTGATGCCCGGGTCTGTGCCCTTAACTACCACACCACACTGCCATGCCCTTCTAGCCCTCTTTGGGACTGTACAATGTGGTGCCTTGAATAAATGAGTGTGTGTGTTGGGGGGGGGTGAGGCAGGAGGGACAGAGGAGTTGTATGGGGTTCCAGGCTGGAATCTGTGGGTTATGGGGCCTGCAGGGGCTGCAGGGTAAGCGAGAGAAGGGAGAGTGGGTGGTGAAGAACCTCTCTGCTGACTCCTCCTCTTCAGCCATCTCTGCTGCTCGCTCACACTCAAGGCCTTACCTTGAACTTGTCTTTCAGAGGCAGTTGCCAGGCAACAGCTCATGGCCACCTGGAGAGGAGCTGGGAGTCACAGGGCTCAGGGAGGACCCCAGGGCTTTGGGCCCCTCCTCAGCTGGAAGGGGTGGGGAGATGGAGGGCACTTTCCCAAGGGGACATGACAGCCTGGGCTCCACAGGACCTCAGACACAGAAGAAAGCACTCTAAAGGAGACGAGAGCTCCAAGCTGTGATGTGAGGGCACCCTCTGCAGTTGTGCTGGGCCACATCCTGTGCAGGCCTCAGGATGCCTCCCCGGCACCGGCAAGCCCTGGTGAGAATCTCAGTGAGTACTCTGGAGGATTGTGGGGGAAATATCTCCCCTAAAAGTCATGGGACCCAAAGTCAGGAGGGGCCTGAGCCCTAGACCCACTCTGTCAGGAACCTGCTGTGCAGCTTTGGGCCATTTACTTCACCTCTCTGGGCATAGTTAATTTAGTTAACAAATTTTCTTTGTTAACACCGACTGTATGCCTGGCCCTGACACTGGGCTGGGGTACTATGGAGGAAAACAGACACAGTTCCTGAGCTCGCTGTGCTCACAAGCAGCTGCACGAATAAATGTTTCATCACCCATGAGCTGGGGAGAAGAAGTACAATGGGCTCTGGGAGAGAATCATGGGGTGGTGGGTGTTTGTGGGGTGAGGGTGGCCCTGGGTGGTGCCAACAGTTAACACACTTGCTACTGACTGAAAAGTTGGAGAGGTTCGAGTTCACTCAGAGGTGCCTCAGAAGAAAGGTCTGGTGATCTACTTCTGAAAAATCAGCCATTGGAAACCCTATGGAGCACAGTTCTACTCTGACACACATGGAATCACCATGATTCAGAGTCAACCAGGCAGCAACTGGTTAACTGGGGGATGGGTGGGGGTGCTGCACTGAGAGCAGAAGGTTGGGTGTGAGTGTGCCAGGCAGAGGGACTGCGTGTGCAGTGGAGGCTGGAGGCTGAAGAACGAACGCAGTGAATGAAGTAAAGAAAAGAGCAGGTGAGACAGGATACAGGGCAGAGGCTGAGCCGACATGGCCTCCACAGGTTGAATCCCCACCTGCAAAACTGAGATAACGGCCCCTCCTCTCCAGTCCTTTCGTTCATTTACATGTTTATTGGGCAGCTGCCAACTGCAAGAAGGAGCCCTGGTGGTGCGGTGGTTAAGAGCTCGCTGCTAACAGAAAGGTCAGCAGTTCAAATCCACCAGCTCCTCCACAGGAGAAAGATGTGGCAGTCTGCTTCCGTAAAGATTACAGCCTTGGAAACCCTATGGGGCAGTTCTGTCCTGTCCTATGGGGTTGCTATGAGTCCGAACCAACTCAACGGCAATTGATTTTTTTGGTTTTGGCCAACTGCAAAAAGCAGGGGACAGAGAAATATAAGTCCTGTCCTTCAGGAATGAAGGAAGTTGCAGCAAAGACAAGAGGTGACGTGGTAGTTTGTAAGTACGCGGACTCTGGACTGCCTGGGTTTGAATATCAGTTCCACTGCTCATTAGCTGTTGACGTTGGGCCAGTTAAGTAACCTCTCTGTTCCTCAGTTTTCTCCTCTCTAAGATGAGGATTGGAGCCCTGGTGGCACAGTGGTTAAGAGCTACGGCTGCTAACCAAAAGGTTGGCAGTTCGAATCTACCAGCTGCTCCTTGGAAACCCTATTGGGCAGTTCTACTCTGTCCTATAGGGTCGCTGCTATAAGTTGGAATCGACTTGATGCAATGGGTTTGGTTTGGTTGTTTTTTTTTAAGATGAGGATGATAGCAAAGGTCCCTACTGTTAAAAGGTTTAAACATGTTAGTATTTGTTAATAGCTTAGAACAGTTTGCCTGGCTCATGGTAGGTGCTGTGTAAGTGTTAAATAAATGCAAGAGGTGCTTCAACAGAAGCAAGAATCAGCCTGCAGGTGGGTGCAAGTCTCCCCAAAGAGGTTGCCCCCAGGGGAAGGAGGAGTGGAAGGCGCTCCAG